AGGAATTCAGAATATCAATATTGCAACTTCAGCAAGCAACTTTTTGTTTGGTTCTAAAAAATAAAGCACTCCTTACCAAGGAATAACCCAATAGAATATCTGGTATAATGTTCAGAATCAGTTTTATCATGGTACTCACTGAGGTCATGGAAACTCATGGCATGCTCAGAGTGAAAAAACACAGTGGTGTTCTGCAGATGTGGTCCATCTGGAGAGCTGGCTCATGAGGACAAAAATGGGTGCACTGACACTGCAAAGTGCAAATCCCGTGCAGCAACACAGCAGAAAGGCCATGTACTTGGTGTGGTTTTATTGTAAGAGTACAGCTAACCTTCCTGCAAATATTACTTTCTTCTACTTGTCTCTGTCCTGTAAAATTTACTAGAAATCACCCTGCTAATATCCTAAGTTTAATGGTGGTGCCAGTGTAGACAAATATTGCAGATTATGTTTATGTTCCTAGTGCTACGTCATAGAATAGCTGCGCTTTACAGATGATGAGCATAAAATAGAATCATAGAATAGTTTGGGTTGAAGGCACCTTTAAAGGTCTCTAGTCCAACCCCCCTGTAATAAGCAGGGACATCTTCAACTAGATCAGGTTGCTCAGAGCCCCGGAAAAACTGTCCTTGAATGTTTCCAGGGATGGGGCTTCCACCACCTCTCTGGGAAACCTGTTCCAGTGTTTCACTACCCTCATTGTGAAAAAATTCTTCCCTGTATCTAGTCTAAAACTTCCCTCTTTTAGTTTAAAACCATTATCCCTTGTCCTGTCACTACAGGCCCTGCTAAAAAGTTTGTCCCTGTCTTTCTTATAGGCCCTCTTAAGTACTGGAAGGCTGCTATAAGATGTCCCCAGAGCCTTTTCTTCTCCAGGCTGAACAACCCCAACTCTCTCAGCCTTTCTTCACAGGAGAGGTGCTCCAGCCCTCTGATCATTTTTGTGGCCCTCCTCTGGACCTGCTCCAACAGGTCCATGCCTTTTCTGCACTGAGTGTGTGGTTAGTAGGTCAAGAGAGGTTCTC